GAGTCTCTTTATTTTTGGAGTTTTTATTATAATCAGTAAAGAGTTTGGTAGCTGCCATCACTGAAGTCACAGCTTGTACCTTCCATTGCTGTTACTCCGTCTCAGCTCATGGTTTCAGACCCTTGAGGGAATAAAATGGTCTATCTTTTTCAGTAATATCCCTAATATCTAGCATTAGAGTTGAGAAATTTATCACAACTTTCGCACTTATCTCGTTTTTGGAAACTCCCACAACTTCTATCACGCCATATACTCAACATTTTTAGAAAAAAATTGGTTCTTTAGTTCTTGTTTGAGGCCTTCCTAAGTGTTGATGCGGCTATCATCATTAATGAATTTGGAACGTCACTATAACTTTGAGTCTCCAGTAAAATACTTTGAAGCCATAGCCACTTTGTTTTCTTTTGATTTTGTGCACACAGCTTGAAAATACTGCTCAATATCTAAAGGGAAGCTCTCCATCTCCTGGACATATCTAGTTACTTTATATCGCTTGGGTTCTGACACTATCTCTTTTACCTTGATTTTCTGAGTTTGCACTGGCATTACCTACAGCAATAACTAAAAGATTTATCAGAGCTCTCAATTCTCCAATCTCGCCTTAGGGAGCGCTTAACGCATTCTTAGTCTCATCATTCAAGGTATTAATTATCTCGGATAATTCCAAATGAACTATCTTAATTTTATTAATTCGCTCTCGTTGGACCATTTGAGCTTTTATCGTGGCCATCGTGGCCATTAGCTTATCAATCTTTTGATGATCTTTTGGTGCACTCTGTATGGTCATCATGTTTACTCTTTAGCTCAACATGTCTCACCCGTGCTCTAATACCAAATGTCACGAATTACGCTCTATCATTTAAGTATGTGATAGTCCGTGCGGCATTTGGGTGGACGCTTCCACGCAAGCTGGCTAATAACTTGTTTACATTTGATTAAACATTAATAATAGCAACAAATTAGATTAAAGCATCGCATATTGAAATCATAGGGCATATCGAATGCCATACGCAATTATTAAGGTCAAAAAAAATATTTTATTAATATGAAAATGAGTGCAAAAGGACCAAGATATGTCATCATTGGGCCATAGGGGCAACTTTAGATGATTCGCTACAAACTTACCTTTATTAGTGAGGCAGCCTAACAATCCGTTGACTGTTCACCTCCTATAAAGAATTTACAAGATTTTACGAGTATTTCACAAATAACTATTACAATGCTTGAGATGGGGACATTTCTTTCCTAAAAGGTCTTCACTTAAAAATTTTCGAAAGAATTTCTACAAATGTCACCAAGTACCATTACAATGTTTGAAAAGGGGAACATCTCTTTTGGAAGCACAAAAGACTTGAAACTCCTAGGGAATTCTACTTTGTGATGGCCCTATGCAAGGTCGGCTCATGGCACATTGACTTGTAATAGTTCAAAGGGCTCTGTGTCCTTTTATTTGTAACTAATGACTCTTGTACTGACTTTATATGCAATAAAACTCTCTCTTTGTTCCCAAAGCTCACTATACTCTTATTGTGCTTGCCATAAACGATCCTAACTTGTTCTATTTGAAAAGGTTGCTAGCCTTTCTAAGTGTTTGTGGTTAAGGCAAAGGTTAGGCCGCATGGGTCAAGAGAAAACTCCTGTGACACTATCACCTTCACCTCTTCCTCCTTATGCTCTCGTTGAAAAGGTGACTGAGGTGTAAAAAAATAAGGTTCAGACTCCCTAAAGGTAACGTCTATACTTACAAAGTAGTTTTTTGAGGGTGGATGGTAACACTTATATCCCTTTTAAGTTGCAGAGTAGCCAACAAACACACATTTAAGAGCATTAGGTTCTAATTTATCTACATTCCTCTTGTAAACAAAACACACACGTCCAAAAATTTTTAGAAGAACAATATATGAATTACTACCTTGTAGAACTTCTAAAGGTTTCTTAAAATTAAATGTTTGTAGGGGCATTCTGTTAATAAAGTATGCTGTTGAAAGTACTGCATCGCCTCAGTAAACCTTTGAAACTTTACCAAACACCAGCCAACGCTTTTTTGAGTTATGGCCTCTGTTTCAAAAACTACTCAAGTTGATCTAGTCTTTTGATTACAAATATGAAATCTAGTGACTCAAATGATAAATTGGAATATTAATTTTGACACTATGGTAAAAGCCCACTAAGTACAAACTTGTAATCAAAGCAATCATCATGAAAATGACAACCAAATTCTGAGTATGATTTAAGATAGCATCAATGAACTTTTAGCACTCTATTGTTAGCTAAATTCATGCTTACGCATAGTTACCAAGGTTGTTGCAGTGTCCATGGAATTGTCAACCAATTCGCAGGTTCCAGATCATGGTTCTTTTGGATCACAATCAGACTCATTTGTTGTGGCACACCAAAAATGGGTTGTCACCCATTCCTAAGAGGTAGAAGAGAGGGAAAAACATTCAGATGGATCTAGAAATATAGAAGACCAATATCTGCATGTCTATTGAGACCTTTGTAGACTTGGACTGGGAGAATAAAGATAAAAAGAAAAAAAAAAAAAGAGAGCTGTCCTTAATCAAGTTTGTCTATCACTAGAGCATGTATATTCTTATCGTCCACAATCAGATTCATTGGGTGTCAAGTAGTGCCAAATCTCCCCAACATTATAATGTTCAAAGGCCATGGACTTGCTTTAAACCTGAAATGATGTAGATCCTTTAAGAACCTTAAATAAGCTTAAATAACCATATGAAGCTATAATGAATTGTTACAGTGCATTCCAAACTAATGAAATTGTAGTGCATTTCATTTGAAACGTCTTTTATGCCTTTAAGAAAAAATTTGTTTACAATTAAATTATCATGTTTAAAATCAATAATTCTATTGATTCCAAAGAATGAAAATAATAGATTTGCAACTAAATTCCACCAAACCATGTGGAATTCATTTGTTTCAAATACAAATTTAGATTTTTGTTTATTTGAGTGTCTCTTATATTCATTTCAGTCCCTGTGAACTATACTTTGATATATTTGGATTTAATTTATGGATGCATTGCTGCACGTATAATGGGGTTTATGCCAAGAAACATTTAGGTTCTATGGTGGCAAAAGAAACTGGTTAGTTGAGAAGTCTTTGTTGAAGAACGAAGAAAAGATCAAGCTTCACACTTAGGTTGCCTTGGGGTTCATCCCCAAAGCTATTTGCTTTACATAATCACCAAGAGCATGAGTTGTTTTCATTGAAAGTTTCATACTTATTGAGTTCCTCTAATCCTAATCTTATAGAGACGTGTTACGTTTGGTAAAGAGAGAAGATGTGTTGCAACAAGTAAAACGGAATGCACTAGAGGTAGCAAAGAGAAAAATTGAAGCAATCTTTGAAGCGTAAGTGCTTTTGTGGCAGGCAGTGAGGAATAAGAAATTGAGGAATAGGTGGAGAGAGTAGTGAAGCGTGGTGGATGGAAAGAGTTGAGTAGAGAAACTTTGGAAGAGCTTTGAGAGAGAGTTTTGAAAATAATCTTGGATGATTTTTTGATCCCTTGATTAGTTGCCTTGTACTAAATAGGAGTGCTCTCTTAAGAGTAATTGGTAGAAGAAAAACACTTTTAAGAGAACACGTTCTGCATGGAAGAATGTATTTGTTATTGGAAGAGCACATCCACGATGAGAAGAAAGACTTAGGGGAAGAGCATCGACTTATTGGAACTTATGAGAATAACATGTAATTGGATAGTTGTTTTAGGAGAACATGTTCTGTATGGAAAAACGTGCTTGTTATGAGAAAAGCACATTCATTATGAGAAGAACAGCTTATGGGAAGAGCATGGTAAAGAACCGCTTATGGGATGTTATGGGAAAAGTACGTAATTGGATAGTGCTCATATATTTTGGGTAGTGAAATAGTGACACTTAACAATGCATCACGTGTACTATTAAAAAAGAGGAAAAAAGGTTAAGCACTTGTATTTTAAGAAAAGGTTAAGAGGAAGTCCTCTTAACTATTTCTATATTTGAGCCACCAAGCCAAACTCTCTAAAGCATCCAAAACGTGAAAATAACTCGTGAACCTTTCCACTCATTCTGAGTTACTTTCATTCTCTGTGTGACATGGCTGATCAACGCTTATTCTTATTATGTAAGACAATATTTAAAGAAATAATAGTTAGCTAAAATTGGGCATCTATAGCAGGAAACTACCAACATGGCCTTAATCTCAAATTATAAACAAAAGCACAAGTCCTAAAATTACTTTTATACTCTTAGTATAGGTATTGACATTTCCAGCAAAACTCAAAATAACTTACATAACCTTCACTACCTTCGCTGTGAATATTAAAGAAAACTCAAATAAAAAAGTTCTTATTTAGATAAACATCAAATTAAGGGACCCTCTATATAATTGAATTGACATAGATAGCTGGTCACTAGAGTGTTCTTACTCTTCACAATAATAACAAAATGAAATTCTGGGATTCTAGAATAGTACATGCACAAATAGTTAGCCATTCTAATGTCTTTCAGGTGCTCATTACATCTAATTCAGATATGATATAGTTTCAAGCACAAAAAATGGTATTTAGGGGAAAAAGAAAAAGGATGGTATTTCTTCATTAGGCATCCCACTGTACATCGATATGGTCGTTTAGCTTGCGAAGGTTATGTTTTGTAGTTTTTATGCATGTCTTAATTGATTATGACACCATTATACTTTTCTGGCAATTCTTCTTGCTGAAACATCTACAACCTATGTCTTGGTAGTCTCCATATTTTATAGATGAAACTAATACTGGAACTAACAAAAGTTGATACCTTTGTCCTGTAGGAGATAAAATTTAGAACTCTAGGTTAGCATTTGTTGTCATTCCTCTCTCTCTTTTTTTCCTCTTCTTTAATGTGTACCTTTCTTTTTATTATGATTATATGGATGTTATTCATTATCATATATATCATTTATACCAGTTTTTCTTATATTTAATACTGGTTCATAATTTGATACTCTGTAGCTGCTTGTAGTCAGGTTTGTCATCCATCACAGCCTGAGTAAATCAATGGAAACATATTACCAGGTTTTTGGCCCTTCCCTGTAAACTCTTTCCTTCCTATATTCTCTTCTTCTCTAACTTACATAGCTGCAGGAAAGTGGCCGAGCTGGAAGAGATGGACTCCCTTCTGAGTGCCTAATATTTTTTAGGCCAGCTGATGTTCCTAGGCAGGTAATTCGTTGGCATTTTTTTACAGTGTCATGTTTGCTCTAGACTTTCTTATAATATTAATCATGTTCTATATTCGAACAGAGTTCCATGGTATTCTATGAGAAATCTGGATTGCAGAACCTTTATGACATAGTTCGATATTGTCAGGTAAAATAATCTGTTTTTGATCTCCTATGTCATGTTTCTTTTCTGAAGTGGCTCAATAAGAGTGCTTGCTCTTTATACTGTGGGGAACTTGTCTGGAAGAATGATTCTGATGATCAGATATAACTGATATTTGTTGAAGTTTACCTTCTTTGTTGCTGACTTCCTGTTAAGTTTTAACCTTAAGCTATATGTGGTGGAATTAATGGGGGAAAGAAGAAATGGAAAACCCACTTTACAATGGCAAGATCCCAACATAACTATTTTTTTCATGCTAACATGCGAGCGTTTGACTCATTGGTTGGTGTATGATCTCTCTCAAAAAGAGTAGGGTTTGAATTGCCCTTTCTCTAAATATAAAAAAAGCTATTTTTTCATGCTAATATGTTTGATGACTCCTACTTGAAAGCCTCTTGCTTTATAGGGGTTGGAAGAACTCAATGCTCTATTTCTACCATTGTATTCATTGGCTTGTAGTGTTGCTAGCACTGTTTCCAGCATATGTTTGAGAATTGGTACTTATTTCATTTGGATTTAGTTACATTACTAGTCATCTGCACGTGTGAGATCCTTTATTTCAAGAGGGCTACCAAAGTTTCTTCTTATTGTAGTCAAAAAGACAGTGTCGCCGAGGTGCCTTTTTCCAGCATTTTGCAGAGCCATTACAAGAATGCAATGGTATAACATTTGCTTTTACTTGCTGTTGTTGTTATGACAATTTTGATTAGATGTAATCATAATCTCATGTTATGTCAGGGATGTGTGACAACTGTGCATTCTCAAGTGAGGTTAAAGAAGTGAATGCTTCATGTATGTTTCTTTGACTTCTGTAGATAGTTGATTTTGATTAATACTTAATTCTCTAAAAAATCATTTTATCGCGTAACATTATATAAAGAATAATGAGAACAACCATTATAAGTGAAGCACTACTTCACGCAGAACAACTAGAATAGGTGGAGCATTACTCCATGTGGAATAATTAATACAAGTAGAACACTTATTTTGTACAAAATAATAATTTCACACAAATGACAATGAAAGTAATCTGGAATAGGTGGCAGGGTTCAGGGGTTACTTTCATATTGGGATGTTCTGAAGAGTTTGGTTTGGTGGCTCAGATATGGAGGTAGTTAAGAGGTCTCTCTTAACCTTTTCCTGAAGTATAAGTGTTTTCTACTTTTTCCTTATTCTCGTATACTTGTTCACGTATAACTTTTTCTCTTGTACCTGTTCATGTACAGCTTCCTCTTTTGTATCTGTTCACGTACAGCTTTTCTTTATTAGCTCCCACTCGAGAACAAGTCTTATTAAATATAATTATCTCAATGGTCACATAATAAGTTTTTTAACCGTTATTCAAAATTAACTTCAATAACGGTTACCTAACATTAAAACTCTCCTTAATGGTATCATTCATTACGTGTATTAAAACCTCTTCTTGTAACTGTTTTTTTTGACATTATATATATAGAACCTTCACAACTCAGAAAGGGGACTTTTCAGAACTACTGGACTTTGACTCATAGTTTTTCTCCTTAGCCTATTTTCACTCAGAACACTTATTCTTTTCTTATTCTCTTCCACCTGCCACGACATTTAGTGCTTCAGGAACTGCTCCAATCTTCCTCTTCGTTACCTCCGGTACGTCCCTTACTTGTTTGCAACGCTTCCTCTTCTCATCACAAGAACCACCATTTACAACTTCTATTCATACGAGTGATTTGTTCATTATTTAAACTTTATTTTTCAATAATCTTCTCTTTGCCTTTCTTTCAACTCATTTATTTATCAGACACTTTTCATTTTCTCTGGCTGAGCCAAAAAAACAGTTGACAAAGCACAGTATTTGTGTTCCCTACGCAACGAGTCTAAGTCTATTTCTTGACTATAATGTTGCAGGCTGAAAGGCAAATGTATATTATGGAAGTAAAATATTTTGACATTTATAATCATTAATATGTTTTCATAAAAGTCTCAATAAGGTGTTTTCTTTTGTTGTTTTATTCTAGCAGAAAACTGTCTCCATATTAGCTTCTTGAATGGATTATTGATTTCCTAGACTTTTCTGGTCTAGGAGTTGTGCTACTTATCTTATTATCTAATCCCTTATTAGATTCCAAATACTGATATAGTTTGGAATGAAGCCTAAACTTTTCATTTCAGAAAATTGAAAGGAAATGAAAGAGTCATTCATTATAGCGGTCAATTTTCGTTTGATTTGCTTCTTAGTACATGGATTTTTCTCTTTCTTTTACATTTTTATCCCCCCTCCCCCTCCTATTGATTTCTATATTTGGTGTTTTGCTTGGAAAAAGAAATAAACAAAGAATATGGAGAAGTGAAAACTCTGGGAAACTCTCCTAGGGTTTCTTAGCAATAACACCTGGGACGTGGCTGTCACACCCTCACAAAGATGATGCTTTTGAAAAGTTGCAAATTGTGCTTGATGATGTATTGGAACTACATGGTCTATGTGATATATAGGTGCATAAGAGAACTACATGACATATGTGGCAAAGAACGTAAGGTTGATGCCAAATACCCTTGGGCCATTTATAAATACCCAAAAATATGACTAGACAAACATAAACCCAGGACACACCACAACTTACAAAGATACAACTTAAATTAAATCTTGACTCAGCTCAGTAGTCATTTGAGGTTTCATGTTGATCCTTAATAATAAATTTTCTCAGGAACCCGTAATTAAAGCATGCACATTGAAACCAGCTTTTCGGCCTTCAGCCTTTAACACACATTCACTTTCTGTCATTACTAGCACTTCAATAGGGATAGAAGTAGAGAGGAAGAAGAAAGGAGGGCCAATTATTGTTGAGGCCAAGGACTAATAATTTAATATTTCAATGAATAAAAGAGCATATTTTTATTCTCCTTGTTCTGAGTTTCATTTCTGTCTTTATTTTTTTCTCTGTTTTCCTTTCTTCAGAAGAAGGAAGTGCTTAAGGTTGTTTTGTTTATGGAGCTGAATGTTTTCCATACGTTAAACTCATTTTATTTTGTAAAATATTTGTCATATAAGGAATTATCTTGTGCAATATTTATTCTGTTTGGTACAATGAAGGATATTTTGCCTCATATGATCATTCTTTGCAGGTCAAACAAAACTTATGATTTCTCTGGTACATGATATGCAAGAGAACAATCAAAGAGTAACAATGTTGCAATTGGTGGACAGAGCAAAAAATAAGCAGAAGCAACTAGGTTCATCCATCTCTTGTTATAACTATATCTAATAAGCATAGTTAGGATATATCTATACGCCATTATAGACACTGACATGTACTTCCTTGCATTTCTACTGTATATATTTGTAGCATGCTAAACCTTTTGTTTTCTATCTAATAAGACATAAGAGGAGAATAAAGATGGAAAATAGAATTTTTTTTTTGTAGGGGTATAACGTTCATTGGGGTAGAGTATAAGGATTGAACTAGGGTGGTGGTAAGTGTTCCTTTCTCTCCTGGTGCATTAAAGTAATGTCAATCCTAAGACACAGATATCCTTTATGTTGTGATTAAGAAAACTCAGATATCATGGCTTGAGCAATGTGGTTAATATTAGGCATTTATGCATCTTTACAGTATTCTCAAAATGTACTTACCTAACAATCTTGTATTGACATGTGCTTCAATATTGAAACTTCATAAACTTTTTGGTTGGGTAGCATTTGGGACATATACCCTCAATAATGTTATCTCTAATGCCATATTCAACATGTTGGCTACATAAATCTGCTTGTTTGGTATGCAAGATTAATGTTGTGTTTCTCTCATTCTCTTGCATTATTTTAAAGTAAGTTCTCTCAAATTCACATATATTATAGTTACATAAATATATTTTTTATTTTTATGAATGCCCCAGACTTTGAACTAAAGAGGGAAGAACTGGAACAGCTTGTAGTACAGCTTATACTAGATCGTGTTTTGGTAAGAATTACTGACCCTGTGGACCATGAATCCAGAAAGTCAGATTTGCCTCAGCATTAAACCCATCTGATCTGGCTGCTGACCACATTAGAATTTTGTAATGATATGTTTGTTAGCAATCGGCAATTTTTTAAACTTAATATTCCTTACAATTCTGCATGAACTGTATAAACTTGATTAGGTATTTTTGAACCATACTGCACTCTTGAAATTGCTCATTATTAACTGGAGGTAAAAGTTTTGATTCATGCTAAATTACATTAGGAAATCATGTGCTATATGGGTGCCACTACCAATAGCAGGAATATTTCTCTGGAATGCTCATTAGGGTTTTCAACTAGTCAGTCACTGTTTTTAAGTCTGAGTTACCACAAGATATAGATGGGTACCTGTTATTCAACTTGCAGCTGTTGAGTTTTGACAAATGAGCAAGTGGTTTAAAATGTTTACATCATAATTCTACTAGCATGAGAGAGGAGAATAAATACTATACCTTTAAATTGTGCAAAATGAATGATGTAAATGTGGGATAAGCAGTCTTCTAGATATTGAAATAATGACTGGTTATCCTGCATTTGCAGCATTCATTCTGCACAAACCGCAAAGATTCACTTGAAGTTGTGTTGCTGCTTCTTTATAATTGGAAATATTTGGGCATACACCCTTGTGTTTCAATTTTTTAAGAATGTCTAGTAATTATGAACTGACAGTTTCAGTTTAGGGGGAGAATAGGAATAAACAAGAACTTATAGTAAATAAAACATTGATATTATGAAGCAAGTTTGCCAATTGCTACAATAATTAATTGTTGTTGTCCGATTGTTTGTACTGTAGGGCTTTTACCCCGTTAGGGTGCTGCAGTGGTTCTGAATGTTGAGATTTTGCTTTTAAATGCAATTTTATGATTTTTGTCAGTTTGTTTTTTCTTCTGTTTCCCCCTTTCATTATGCAGAAGGAAGATTTTCAGCATACAGCTTATGCTACAAATGCTTACGTTACAGTAGGACCCTCAGCAAACCAAATTTTGCAAGGTATAGGTTAATTCACGTTGGTGGAATATTGGATGCTGCTCATTTTCTGCCATTTATTTTCTAGCTATAGTTTTTCCTACATGCTCTTCTGCACTTGCTACTGTTGCATAGAAGTCCATGTCAGAACAAGACAGGTTACTTTGCTGCTCTTTTTGTCCATATATGAATCATATTTCGTTAGTTAAACCATCATAATTCCATCCTACCCCAAAGTATGTTAAAATTGGCACAATTGATTTATCATCGAGCATGCAGGGAAAAAAATTGTTAAGATGGAGGTTGCTGGCAGATCGAAGGTTATGGACGGTAACAGGAAATCAATTAAACATGGTGTCACATCTGGTTTGGAGTTTAAGCTAGATGAGCTGAGGAAGGAACTTGCTTCTTCCCACAATGGGGAAATATTCCCTCATGCTGTCTTGTCAGGTCAACAGATCAGCATCATAAGTACCAAAAAACCAAGTTCAACTGAAGAGGCATGTCTCAAAGTTTCTAATTCTTCTCTTGTGTGCTTGACATATCCTATGCTTGACAATCAATTACTGGAATGAAACCCTAGTTTGTCATATCATGTGTAGCACCTTTAATCTAGGGTTCTATGGTATGTTTTAGCCCTAGTGTTTCCATCTGTAGACATAGAGAGAGAAAATCAATAGTTATACTTGTATTTTGTTATTGTTTTTTGCAGTTGGAGATGATTATTGGAAAGTTAAAGACAGAGAAGTATGGGGATAGAATTCTTGAAGAAGTCAAGAAGTATGATATTGCTGAGCAGCTAAATGATAATGTGTTGGAAGAAGAACAAGGCACTGAAAAAAGACCTAGGAAGAAGCTGAAGGCGAAAGAGGAAGTAGTTGTTCTCACTGAGAGCAGTAGCGATGAATCATAAATTTCTTCTTGTGATTTCTCACAAGGCTTATCATAGCTGAAGATGTTGTCTACAGCTTTGTAACCAAATCGGTTGTCTGGTTGATAGAAGAGAATAGCTAACTGGAATTTCTGTCGTAGATTCAATCTTCTTATGTCAAGAGTCCTAGAAAATGAGAGAAAAAAATTTTCATGGGTGATAACATCATTATGTGCCAAAGTTTTGCTGGGCGGGGTTTTTTCTTTATGTTGGGAACCCACACCCACTCGCTTAAGAATTAAGATTAGTAATCTACATTTGTCATCGTCAGTGGAGTTGGAGAATATTAGAATAATAATCTTTTGTTTTTGTCTAGTTATTCTTATCAATGTTTGAAAAATTGTTGTTGGTTTTTCAACATTTAACTTTTTTTTGTACTGTATTGTATTGTAAATATACAAATCATTAAACTTCTATCTTACAAAAAAAAATTAAAAATTTTATGATATAAAATATAATAACAAAGTAAATTCTCTTATTTAGAAAGAGACGGAGCAAAGGGGCATGATTTTTTCGAACTTGCAAGTTGCAACTGCACCAGATTAGATATATGAGATATATGCAAGCCCAATGTAAGCTACACGCGTATCATATCTAACAATCTACCAACAACGAATATGCCGTGATTTAAGTGTAATTAATTACTATTACTATTATTATTTACTGGAATATTAAGAGTATTTTTTTTTCTTTTTAAATAGAAAAGGTAGAAACACTTCTGGTTGTACCACGTTACTCGGCCGTGCTTATAAGTAACGGCAGTCCACCGAAGGTAACATAACAAGAAGGTGGTCTTTGCGTCTACAATTCATCTACTGCGCGAGAAAAATGGGTTTGAAGGTGTGATTTCCTTTCCTCTCCATTTGTAATTTAATTAACTAATCTATTTCTGTTGTTTGATCTTGTCTTGATGATTCATTGATTCTGTCATTCAACCACATCGGGAAATTTTCTTTCACTGGAATCAGTCTAATTGCTTCCGCAGATACGTTTTTATGATATTCTTCTTCTCGCTTTCTTACCATTCAATGGCGCAATTGTTAATTTTAAGTGAAGTAATCGTTTAAAGGAGAAGACTTTCAGATCTGGAAGTTTCAGGCTTTCTATTCAACTGGTTGGACCCAGGAAGTCAACAAATCTGTAGATCTCTTCTTGGTTTTATCAATTTCCTATTACTGCTTTCTGCTATAAGTAAAGCATCTTAAAACATGCTGAAAACATTGCTACGATTGCTACTACTACAAGTGCTCTTTCTCCAGTTACTCTTTTCAGCTCAGATTTGTTTGCGATAAATAAAAGCAAACAAATTTGTTTAGAAGCCTTTGTGAATTTTGCCATGTTGTTTTAGAATTGCCACATAACAATTACCTTTTCAGTCTTTGGAGATTCTGTTGTTTCAGTTTTTGGAGATTTTATATATATATATATATATATATATATTGCGTAAACTGCGTTTTTATTAAAAGTATAATTTTACTGGATCCAAAATATTGAAGTGTGGCGTTTTAGCAATTCAAATTTACAGAATGGTAGTGCTTTTTTTTCGCTGGTCATATCTACGTTTTTTTACTGTTTTATTGTCAAAAGTATAAGCAATTTGATTTTTAGTTTTTTTTGCTAACTCTGCTTGCAGGAGGAATTTGAGCAATATGCTGAGAAAGCTAAAACCTTACCAGAGACCACAACAAATGAAAACAAGCTCATTCTCTATGGACTGTTCAAGCAATCTACTGTTGGACCAGTGAATACCAGTTAGTATATAACTCACTTTAACCTATTGTTTTTGTCGTGTATAACTGTGCTAAATTCTCACAAAGTTCCTGAGACTTGTATTTTTTTTTGTCGTATTCAAAGGTCGTCCTGGAATGTTCAATATGAGGGAAAGATACAAGTGGGATGCATGGAAGGCTGTTGAAGGTACTTCTTAACGATAACTAATGATTTTGTTTCCCTTAAAACTGTAACATATTTGAATTTATTTTTGTTTATGAAATTTTGATCTGTTTAAACGAAAAAACAGGGAAATCTAAAGAGGAAGCAATGAGTGATTACATCACCAAAGTAAAACAGTTGCTGGAGGAGGCTGCTGCGTCTGCTTGATGTTCCCAGCTTTGTCATCTATGTTTGAATAAGTAAAACTAAGAATAAACATTGTACTTTTCTTATTGCTACCATGTTATTCTTGAATTAAGCCAATTTAAATTAGATGTATTTTATGTATTTCTAGCATAAACAAGCTCAAATGAAATGTTTGTGGCACCTGCCCTGAACAAAAATTGTGTAAATCCCTGAATCCACCACAATCGCCAAGGTTATCCCCCTCCAAATGTATACTGACATCAGCGATTGAATTGAGATTTGAAACTTTTCATTTTGATTTTTGGTATTAGGGGATGGATGTTTGAGGTGTTGGAGAAGAGTACGGATTTGGACTTTGGAGGTGTTAAAGGTGTAGCTGTACAATATAATGGTGGGTGGATGGAGTTAGGGGTATTTTTGGGTGATAGAATGTGGTTGTTTTCCAGTATTTTTCTGTTGTTTTAGCGCTCTGTATTTATTGTGCTGATTGAATCTTTGAACGGAATGGAGAATGGAGGAGCTTATGATGTGTCTATGAAAATGGGTTTGAGAGATAGAGTTGGTGACTGTTAAGTTGATCGGAGTGATTGAAGTTATTTTTTTCCTTTGTTCTGGCCAAAGGAATTAGCGATAGATGATGAATAGATGCTGTCTGTATGTTTTTTTTCGTACATTTTTTGGCTTCCTCAACGTAAATCATCCTGAGTGTTACCTGCTATTGGGTGGTGCAAATGACATTAAACAATTATCCTTGGGGTTTTGTAATCAAATATTATTCTTCATGTTCCTTCTCGGTGTTTCATGGGATCTTAGTTCTTTGACGTGCCTATAGCATTAGGTCGGTTTGGTATATGAGATGTAAAGTATATTTTTTGTTTTGTTTTGTAACATATCAATACAATATAAGATTACAATGCAATCATATTACAGTCAATGTATGTAATGTGATTACAGTCCAAAACCAATATTACAGCCAATGTATGTAATGTGATTACAGTCCAAAACCAATACAATCACATTACGCACTTTGCAATGTTCTTAAAAATAATTTTACCTTTCAACTTTATTACTTTATTAAAAATATTTTATAATATTATAATTAAAATAAAAAATATTAAAATAAAATATATAATATAAGAATAAAAATTAAAATAAAATAAAATGTAAAAAATTAACATTTATATAATATAGGTAAAAGAAATTAAAATAAAATATATAATATAAAAAATATATTAAAGAAATAAAAATAAAATATATAAGATTATAATAATAAAAGAAAATAAAATATATGATATTAAAAATATATTTAAAATATAATATTATATAAAAATTAATAATAAAAATATAAATATATTAAAAAGAAAATATAAAATATTATAATAATAAATAAAAATAAAATATATGATATTAAAAATATATTTAAGAAATGATATTATATAAAAATTAATAATAAAAATATAAATATATACAATTCCAATAAAGTACTTGTAAACTAAACACTATAATGTTATTTTTTTTATATTTTAATTATTATTTTACTTGTATACCAAACACTGTAATATTATTT